AGAAGTGCATTTAATGTATATAAAAGGGTAGGAAATAATAACTCATTAAGGCACTCATATGTATACTATATAGAAGTCTACTAAGAAAATGAGGATATGAGATAAATTTGCCAATGAAAAGGCAGCTATTATTTAGACATGTTTTGAGTGCCACGTCAAAGGTAATCTACAATAGTAAATTCATTTATGTAAAAGAATCAATTGATAATTTCTTATAAAGCCTAGTGTGGTATAAAAGTAACATATTTATTTGAATCGCTTGCATAACTATTGGAAATTGTTTATTATCCCCCCTGAATATCGTATAAAAGCAAAACGGCTGTAGTACAACGATATTCATCCGTTCTCATCTGGTAAGATCGACCAACGAATCTCTCTTTTATGCACTTTCATCCGAAATGAAGTTCCATCAAAAAGTTTTATTACCCATTCACAGACATGGGGTCTTCGTTGGCCGGAAGTGTAATCAGATCAAGATGTATCTGTTTTTTACTCTCAACTATATTAAAATAGTTATATGGTTATATTCAAATAGAGACTTCAGATCTATCGAGGAATATAAAGTTACGAAATAAATAGTCTCCAAAACCTATTCTTATTTTTGGCAATTATAGGTGATAACAATACGATTAATAGGAGAAACAACTAGGATTTTTATATGGACTGCTTCATTTTATCTATAAAAATGGAATATATTATAAGGAGCTCACCGGAATTCCTGTTGTTATACACTTATAACCAAGAATCTGAAGGAAATTCTGCTAAGGATCGGACAAGGGCCACATCTTTTTCCTGAAAAAATAACTATGTTATCATATAAAATTATTATTTTACAATATCTTTTATAAGCGTTTTTTAATTAGCAGCAAAATAATTTTCATTATCTACCAAAGTTTATTACATGAACGTTACGTGAATGGACTACATATATTAATTCGTTTATCAGCGCGACACATAAAACCACCCTACTTGCCGCCTTTGTACACCTTCTAACCTAGGCCTTTAATCTATGTATTATGCCCTTAATACTGTGTTTTCTTTCATTTTATCGAAAAATAAATTTTTTATTAGTTGGTTTACAAAATTTATACTGCTCTTAGTTTTATATTATGGATGATCAGACAATCAATGGATCGGAAAAAATACCATTCCAATCGCCGTCTTTAAGGATTTCAGACGCGCCTAAAAGTCAAAGTTATAAAGCAAATTTTTTTGATGGAGTGTATATTAGAAGTAATTCTCTTATTTCGTCTAATGCAGAGACGAACTCAGCTAGCAACTCAAACTCGCAGTGGGATAGGGATTCGGTTTTTATGCACCCGAATCATCCTCAACAAACTCGCATAATTGCGGCACAAAATAGGCGTCATCCTGCATCTCAGGGTAATTCGGATCCGAGCCCATGCGGAAAATCTCGATGTAATAAATTATTGATCTCAGACAAGCGCTCTCTTGGAACAATATTTTATTCTGAATCCGCTCCCAACGACGTTCATGACAAAAGGACAGACTTGTTTAATCAACTCCACGATGCAAATCGGATAAGTTGTCTAAGAGGATCAGACACTGAGCTCTATATAAAGAATAAACGACTATATTTCAATTCATTTTCTTCCAATACGGGTGATGGTTTATCTGAAGACAATGCCAATCAGATTCCTTCCAGACAATCGCTAGATTATGCAGTTTCACCTTTTGGGTCTTCCGAGAGCTCAAGTGTTACTCTTCGGCTTCCTCCATCTGAAAGCCAACTTTCCCTTCCCGAACCCCCAGATGGTGGATGGGGTTGGGTTGTCGTTGTTGCTGCCTTTTTTGTCCACTTAATTACTGACGGTGTCTCTGTGTCTTTCGGCATCTTTTTGGAAGATCTGATGGCTGATTTTGATGAAAAGATGAGCACCACTTCTTGGGTTGGCTCGTTTGCCTATGGCATTCCTATGCTTTCTGCTCCTATTTCCACTGTCCTTATAAATAACTTCGGCTGCAGATTCGTTTGCATTCTTGGGGGAATAATTAGCGCTCTCGGATGCGTCGCTGGATATTTTGTTCAATCAATACTTGGTCTTATATTTACGTTCGGAGTTCTGTCTGGAATTGGGTCTGGTTTCAGCTTGACCGCTGCTCTTATAATAGTTTCGGTGTATTTTGACGATAAAAGAGCAACCGCTACTGGTTTGTCTATTGCTGGAATGGGTATGGGAGCATTCCTATTTGCACCACTTGTTGATCTTCTTATCAATCTCTACACCTGGCGTGGTACTATGCTCATACTAGCGGGTTGCTTTCTTCATCTTGTCGTATGCGGTGCCTTAATGCGTCCTGTGGAGACTAGTACCGAACGGCGTCATCGTACTAGATTAGCCTGGCTTGAACACTTCGCTCGAGAATCAGGCTTCCCACCCCTCAACGACTGTCATGAATATAAGTCTCAAGATACTTCTGGCCGGATAAAACTTCTTCGTGATCGTCTACTTGCTCCAAGAAGCCTCAAACCAGCCCTATCCCATTGCTCTTCATTTCCTGAAGAATTGGATTTACCCTGTATATTGAATCCAGCACATTGTCTAGCATGTGAAAGTAAGACTCTGACCCATCAACCTTTGACCACTGAACCCCATATACTCTCCCCAAGTCTTGAACCTTATGCCTC